CACAACCATACGTGATATTGTCATAGCAATATCACTCGGTTCATCAATTTCTATTATACGGTATTATTGATTTCTAAAATAAAATCTGCAGTCGAATGGAATGATGTATTACACTTTGAATGGATACGATACAATTACCTGTGAATAAAGACAAGTTCAATTCAATGATTGGCACTTTTATATTCCTCGGTATAAACATAACAGGCTCTTCTTATAATGGTTTTCATAATTATGTTAGAGTTGTCCTAACTCCAGATACTGTTCTAAGAATTTCTCGATGTATTCTTTTGACGAACAGACTGCAAAGCTTTCTATCCGAGAGGTTTCAGCCGAAATAATGAAACGGATGTCCTGATGACTTCCTTGTTTAATATGTTTGATATCTATTCTGACAGGATTAATAGAAGTACACTGGGCTTTTTAGGTTCACAATAAATATCATTTTTCTGGATGTCACTAAAGTTCCTGTTGCAGTCTGTTAGTATTGGCTTTGAGTTTATATTTTGTCATAGAAGAACGCCGTTTCGGATTGTTTTCGAAGACCAAATTGACATACCATCCTGTCTTTGTCCATCGACTTACGTCACGATACCCGATCCTTGGTCTTTTGGTGCCGTATAAGTAGGCGATTCGAATAGATTCACCTTCTGTGACATCATCATTTCGTTTGTTATTTCACGGACCAATGATCCGTTTACGATGATTTCCCACCCATGCAATAACACGGCCTTTCTCTGACTTCATCATTCCGTTTGTAATTTCCTCAGAATTATCAAACGTCAACGTATTAACTGTGTGACAGTATATATGACACATAGGACTACGTGGCTCTCCGATGACTCACGTCTCCTCGTCTCAAGAAGTAGTCGGGTTCAATTCACCTTCTTTGACGTCATCATTCCGTTTGTAATTTCGTCAGGATTATCAAACGTCAACGTCAACTCACGTCGGCACGTCTCCGGAAGTAGGCGGGTCCAATTCACCTTCTGTGACGTCACGATCCTACGACCTACGTTTTTTTGGCGCGTATAAACAATCGCTCTATACTACTATTGTCTGATGGTTTTCATCGTGGGTATTTGATCTTTTCGAATAAATTTTATCTTACAACAAGAACGAAACTGTTTCTTTACTTTTAAAATCATCTTTTCTCTGTTAAGAAACTGCAATCCATACATCATTTAATTGAAAAAATGTTTGCTATATGAATTATAATAGCATCAATAATGAAGCATATTTCTTTTTGTAGATTTTTTTTGGACTTCCGGTGGGCGAATGGACACAAGCACTACACTACTCCGGCAAGTTTACGTTCCTTGTGATTAGCGAAAGAGACCTTGCTCCATAAAAAGACACTACACATCCCTGTAAGACCTGTTGGAGGCGGTGAGTCTATAGTATACCCCCGGAAAATATGAATTTATGTCGTTTTTAAACATTGTATAAATAATACACCGGTCGGACACAAGACCTATATATAGCCCTACTACCTGAACTGTACCTGTGCGACCAACCAAACCGGTTTTGACCATCTCGTGCGTGCCACATAGGAACACAGATATTGAACTATAAACAAACAGTGCTCTCTCTAGAGTGTCTAACTAGAGGTTCCAATTCTGACTGCAGTTTTGAGGAAACATCAGAATTAAATGAAACGCCCGATGTAAAGGAGATAAAGTACGGGAAAAGTAACAAACAGACAGAAAAAAACCAAAGTACTAGACAAATAAAAAAAAAATACCCCAAATGAACGCCGAAAAAAAGAAAGATTTGATGCCTGAGCACATACACAAAACTACTGACTCGAGTGAAGATATGGATCTTGGCGAACATCTCAATAGGATAGAGAGACTGGTTCTCTCATCTAAAGATGATCTTACAGAGTAAATAAAACACATTATCACCAAAACCCAGTTAAAATATACTATTGAACAATTCACCAATAAATTCGACGAGAAAATCTCCAATGTAAGAGACTCCTTTAATGAATACATCGAAAGACTCAAAGGAGATATACATACTCTTGTCGTCGATAATCAGACACTCAAAGAGTCTGTCCAACATCTTGAGAAAGACAACGAGGCCCAAAAGAACCAAATATGTCAGCTACGCGACTACATCGAGAAGAACTATGAGGCAATAAATGACCTTGAACAACACGGACGCCCCAATAGTATCCGAATATATGGTGTATATAAATGCACACAGGGTGAAAGTAATCTACTTGAATCAGTTAAATTAGATTGTCTTAGAATAATAACAGGTTTGAGAAGAGGTACCAGTCATAATCTAATTAATATGGAAGTTGGTTTAGATATATTTAACAGAAGGCGTACTAATCATCAGTGTATTCTAATTTTTAGGATACTGCAGCATGACTGTCCTAATAATCTATATGAATGCATATCTAATTCGCCTTAGACGCCAACGAATGTTTGTATCTCCCTTTTGCAGAACTAACCACTATAAAATAGCTTTTCCGCTAGTATGATCATGATGTCTTTATGGAAGAAACCAGACTGTACCTTCCGACAACTCACTTCATTAGGGCAATTAAAACAGGAATTAATTAAGCAAATAACACAAAATGTACAACCATCATACTGTACTGACATTTTTAAATATGATGGACCTAGGAAATTTAATATAATGTAATGTCAACTACGGAATAATGTCAGTCAACTTAACTTAGATTTATTGAATGATCATCTAACCGATACCACTGTGGTTGTGGTACCTTAATAGAAGATGTAGATCACTTCTTCCTTACTTGCCTTAGATATGCAAATGAAAGGCAAATTTTATTTCATTCATTATCTAATGAAATTGACAATATCATACTAGGTACTAATTTTATCACAAATGGAGACATGAATTGAAGTATTGAAACAAATTTATTCGTTTTCTCTTGTGTCCTAGATTAGGAAAATCTGGAAGATTTAAAATTTGAATGCAGTATATGTTTGAAATGTATGTCGTTTTAAATGGAAAGGGCTTTTATAGGCAATGCCTGTGCCCAATCTTAATGTTAATTGCAACAATAAAATATTTTGAAATGTAAAATGTACTATGTTACCTTCATCAGACAAATGACCAGTGACGCGTATGTACACAAAGGTGTAAAATGTGTACGAGTTGTCCACAAATCGATGTCGATTCGGCTACGCTGTACGCGTATGTGCAATTAATTGTTATATATGTACCGAATTGACTCGGTTTAGCTACGCTTTGTTTAATACCTAGTCATAGATGTGCAAGAGTCCCTGAGTCTCCTCATCTCGATTCAGAACTGGCCCACTGCGGCGTATCCAGATGGCTTCCTTTATCTGCCACTTGCATAGATTGTTCTCTCTGCATGTCCAATACCTTGGAGTTCTCTTAGTCAATCACATGGTTTTTCTGTGCGACATGGTCTGTGATTGCCGGTTTATTGATCTGGGACTCCGACTGCTTCCTTTTTGATCGGGTGAATTTCTTTCCCTCTTAGGTTTCCGTATCTTATGCATACGCTTACGAAAACTCATACATATTTTACATCTTTGTGTTCATAAGCTTCACTGGTCATTTGTTTGAGGAAAGTGACAGAGTACATACCGCACTAGTCATCGAAACGTCACATATAAACACTTTTTGGTTGCGCTACACGAATCTTTTCACATCTGGTATGCATTACTTTGCAATGTAAAAGCAATATATGCTACAATATATGATTGTGTGCAGAAGAGAGATATACAAATTTATTTATTAACTCATAAGAATTAAATTTTAAAAAAAAACGATTATAAATAGGCTTATAGATGAATATCTCATTGTATGCAGATAGAGACAAACAAATTGATTTATTACCTGGTATGTATTACTATTCCAAAAATTATGATAATGAGTATGATTATATATATATGAATATACGATTGTGTGCTGAATAGGGAGAAAAAAATGATTTATTTCCACGTAAGAATGACCTTTTAGAAAAAATAAAGATTATGATTATGATTATTGAATATATGATTGTGTACAGAAGAGAGACAAACACATTAATTTATTAGCTCGTAAGCATTTCCTTTCCATATAAAACTTATCCTGTAAATGTCTTATATTATTTGTACCTTTTATGTTATTGCACTTACTTCAGGAAAACAGGGAAGGGAAATAACTATAACGCAAATAACGTGTAGGAATTGTAACACTATGTTCCGTGGTATACATTATAGGGTTTATTTCCCTTTGCATATAACAATTTTTGAACAAAGACAGTCTTGGTAACATCCGTCCATTATATGATTGTCTTGCGAATGTATGTTTCTTTGAAACCTGTGTAAGTATTATTTGGATATACCCATCAATCAACAGAATAGTTTATGCTTACAGTAAGACATTTTTGATGGAAATCGTGTAGTTATTTCTATAATTACTACCATACATACAACAAGTTCCTTAACTTAAATGTGACGTTGCATGTTCAGAACCACTATCAAACTACTCCGAAACATTAATCTGTTATGGGACGTCCCCTCCTAAACAGGAAGTGACCGTTGCCATATTTGTCTATCTGCAATCGAGTCACCAAACCTCTGAGCGCGGGTATATAGACAGACTCAAAGTAAATGAAACTTGTTTTATAATTGTTATAGAATAAATAAGTTATTATCACGTGTCTTTTCAACCTGTCGACATATGAACATTGGTAACTCATAAGTACACATAATGACATATTAAGATGTACTTATACAATATATATATAATAAGAATGAATCTTAATTGGCATTATAACAACCCTTAAGGTGGTGACGGTGGCCAAGTGGTTAAGACGTCTGACCTTCTACGATTACTAGCCCTCCACCACTGGGTCGCGGGTTTGAGGCCTACGTGGGACAGTTGCCAGGTACTGGTCACAGGTCGGTGGTTTTTCTCCGGGTACTCCGGTTTTCCTCCACCACCAACACAAAGCACATCCATAGCTGTAAATAGGACCTAAAGCACAAACAAACCAAACCTCACCTAAATTATAAATTGATGTACCACGGATTGGGATAAAATTTCTGACATGGTTTTAGTTTTACTATTGATCGTGAACATGAGGTCATATATGGAGACTATATAATTTCATCAAAATCTAAATCAGTAATGTTTAAGATGTTTTTAAACTAAAATCTGCTATCACTTTCGTATTTTTGAACAATAATGAACGTTTTTTTCATTCCGAGAAACCTGTGTAAAACATGTGCAATCGGTAGCTGTTGTTGAAACATTGTTTTGATTATTTTTTCCAAATATGTTTGTTTCTCTTTTGAGAACTACGTCTTTTCTGAAACTGATTTATTTGACAATATGCAATAAAGGGAGTTAAGCGAGAAATAAAACATTTAAAATATTTTCAAAATACATCTTTCAGCTAATGCCGCCTCACATATCTTAATGAAGAAAGAGAACGGGTAGCACAAAAGACATCACAAATTGTCAGGCACTTAGCATGGACCAAATATACAATTAACTGTTAATTCGTAGACAATCTCCTAGTAAAAGAGTAGAGCGTAAAAAGACTGGTGAGATTGACCGTTCCTCAACCAGAGAAAAACCTCTTTTGTGGTAATAGGCGATGAAGAGGTAAACCGTCTGTCCGGAGAAAATCGTTCGGAGAAAATCAACTTTGCAGTAACAAGAATGACGATATGGTCCGTCCGACCGCTCAATAGCTCCTTTGTGATAACAGGCATGGTAGGAGGGACCGTGTTTTCCGTAGGAAACCTAATTTTATAACAGGAATGAGAAGACGGACTGACGCCCAAAGAAAAGCTCCTTTTGTGGTAGATACATCGTCTGTCCGGAAAAAATGCCATTTGTTGTAACAAGAATGATGAGATGGACTGCCCATCCACAGAGAAGCTCCTTTTGTAGTAACAAAAATAATGAATTGGTCTTCCCATCCGGATACAATCTCCTTTGTAGTAGCAAGTATATTGAGATAGACCGCCCGTCCAGAGAAAGTCTCATGGTAGAATGGTAGACTATGATCAATGCAATAGATAGGAATTACAAGCCTGATCATCAATCATTCAAAGACAATCACGCTGGTAGTGGGCGAATCCACGGTCAAGTGTGTCCTCATACCAATTAGCTGGTTTGTCGAATTTGGTGACACTCTGGAGGAAGCAGTCGCTGGTTTTCCAACCGTACTCGAACGTGACGCACGTGTACAGTGTAGCCGACACACATGACTGAGTACAAGATTCAAATGTTACATTAAGAATGGTCTCCTCGTTATTTTCACTGAGAAAGTAACCAAACACTTCGGTGAAATCATTCCCGTATGTGGTGCAGTCTGAAAGATTAAAGTAATAAATTAACATGTTATTTTGTCACTGTTTCGAAACAGGATTTAAGCCTTTACATTTGTGTCAACTATATAATTTCAAAAGTTCACATATATTGCTACTTCGGATGCAAATGATTATTTTCATGTGGGGGTTACAAGGTGTTAATAATTACAACTGATACGATCACATTTCAAGTGTTCACTAGAAGATCTAAGTGTGAAAGCATTGACCAACATTATGATGTGATCATTATTGACAAACGTCAATAACTAACTGAGGAATAACTTTTGTTCTGTAATTTTCCCAGAATGTCTCTGCATTCTCACGTTCTGATGCTTTATGCTTAAGAGTTTAATTACAAGCTGTGTGAAATAAATGTCACAGGAGGACAAATCAGCTGTATGGTGCAGTAATAACAATAATTATAATAATTCGAGGTTCTTATATACCGCTTTAACACAACCTAGTTCGTAGGTCGTCTCAAAGCGGTTCACAAATTATTATCCGTGGTTATAGGGCCTTTGCAACTAGCCAATACTTTTCTCAACTCCCTGGGGAGCATACAGCCGGAGCTGCCATTTCGGCGCTAACAGCTAGCATTCAACAATTCTAGCACTGCCCAATCACGTACTCATTTATAGCTGAGTAGACTGGAACAAGCGGAGTAAAGGATATTGCTCAAAGATACAACATATTGCCGTGCCATGGCGCGAACCCGCAACCCTTCGGTCACGAGCCCGGCGTCCTACCGCTGGACTACCGTGCCTCCTAATTGCAGTGCAATTCATTTGCTGCAAATTATATCTATTACCAAATCTTAAAGGTGTAATCACCTTTGTGTATATATCAGTGTGTGTTATCATCTTTAGCAAAGGGGCCATACATAACATTGGTCGAAACATGAAATATTTGGTTTCATATGATTTCTTGATATTATTTATTGATTTAATGTTATTGTAACAATCTTTCTTGATTTTTTATTCATTTCAATAATTAATCAATTGATATTTATTTAGTTATCTGTGTTGTTATTGTTCCCGTTGTTGCCTTTCCGCATCGACGTTAACTTTTGGCTGTAGCTATTGTCAATGCCCTTCTGTTATAATTAACAGTTTATGAGATCGTCATTTAAAAATATCCTTAGAACGTCAATATATGGAACGGTTATGATACTGTCGACATATTATTATTTACGTATGAATGATCTAACAATGCTGCTCGTTTTACATTTGTCATCTATCTTGATCTTTGTTATTCATTATCTTGATACTAATCTCTATAAATACAGTGACAGTTTTCTTCCTTAATTTTACGCAAGTGCATTCCCGTTTTCGTTAGAAAAAGAAGAAAAATCGAATTCAACATTTCTTTGTGATGTAGAGAGAGAAAAATCTCAATCCAAGCGTATTTCTTTTCAAATTAAGTTCGAGGCCTTACCTAACGCTGAACTTCAAACATCTTACACTTACCAGGGTTGAGACGTCGCTGTATGCCTAACACAGGAATGATTGATTATTTTTGTCTCCAAACTGGTCTACCTTTAAAATAGCATGTCATGAAATGGCGAAGCCAATTATTTTATAAATACAATATCATTAAAAAGAAATACAATTATATATATTTTTATTTCTATTTTCAAAGAATTTTCAACCATACGTCTTCTCCGTGCTGAATGCAGCAATAAACTTTGTGATTTCTTTCCTGGCGACTTTTCAGGAACGATGATTAGTCACTGTCTAGTTTCCTCATTTTTTTAAATTGAATTTTAATTTGAACGCAAACACAGAAATCATACACAATGCAAAGTATTCATGCATTATGTTTACATAAATGGGAATCTTTTATAGTGCCACCTCAATTGAATGCTACAGCACAGATACCGCAACATCCACTCCAGACTAGTTTATACTCCACCTGGGTTGTTGGAGTTGTAAAGTATACATGCATTATGTTCGTATAAATGGAAGTTTATAATGATGAAAAGTTCCTTATAATTTAGAATTGTCCTATTTTATTTTTTTAATGATACATACATCTGGCCATTTACCATTCATACGAACAGAGACATATGGCTATATATCATATATGTCTCTGATACGGAGAATATGTTCATGTCAAACCAGTAATTACTTCGTGGACCTATGAAATCGTGGAAGAAGAGAACCCACGAAATCCACGAAATTAAAACCCAACACACATTAGTGTTTTCACAGTAATTGTAAATGTCTTTGACTTGACCCGAAATTTCTAAGCGATGTTGCAAAAAGAATACCTTTATATAATCATCCATAATATCAGATACATTTGACACCTGGACTTCATTTCAGCATTTCAATAAACACCAGATAAAATTTTGGCTCTATTCCAAGTGTGAATTACTTGATTTCCAGAACCCTACGTCATTGGCTATACATATATTTACTTTAAGTGATTTAGTTTGATTAAGTAAGTGAACTTGTTTTACAGTACAGAAATGCATTCCATATGAAACATACCTACACAATTATTAAGATATATCCTGTAATTGCATTCGTTTACTATCTTTATCGAAACTTTGTGTTTTACTTGAAAAAATATGAAAAACTGAATGGAAGACATGCATTATAGATGGTATTTGATTATGTAGAGTGACTATTGTCATACGCTGTGTATATTAAAAACAACTTCTTTTTCATAGGCAATAGTTAAAAAGTCACAAAATACATAATAATCATACTACAAAAGATAACTTTGACAGCAAATATATGTAAATCTAAACATACAAGCATCTTCCCTATTCTCTAATACAAAACCTCATTATACAATATTGATCGTAGTCTTAGTTTAGGGTTTTTAGAATATTAGTGGATGTGTGTATTGACAAAAACCCACCTCCGAAGCCGGTATCCTGTGGATTTTAAGATCAAAGGGGGATTAAAGCGATGTTTATAAAAAAAAACACAGATCACATTAAAAATCACTGGAGCATTGACTATTGAATATGAACGACCCTACTGTTGCAATTTATTTCGTCTGGACAAGGATTCCATCGTTAGACCTTAATTACATAAATTTACATTGTTAATTGAACGATGTATTAGCTAATGCCACGTAACTCTTTCCTCCTCCTTATCGAACGTAAATTTACATTAACTACACGCAGTATAAAGGCACAAGGATGTGAACACTCTCGATTCCCATCCATCTTGTATTTAATATTTTATTTATATAGTAAAATATATATATTGGACTGCTTTATCGGGGGGAAAAGCAGATTTAGCTGAAACCAGTAAAGAAAACATCCTATCATATTTACAAGATCATATTATGTATAAAGCATGAATTAATGAATACATACAATAAGATAGAATAATAATTGTGGAATTGAAAAGCAAAGTTTATTTATTTCATTATATATAAATATGCAATAAAAGTTTAGATATATAAAGTAGTTATAGTATTTAAATACAAACAAGCACGAAAGATCAAAAGAACATCTTCAAAAACACAATAATAATTTAAATATATGTTTATTTTGCAACAAAGAAAACATTTACGAATAACCGCTTATAAAGCAATAGATAAAATGTATAATGCGTAATATGAGTAAAAAAGGTGCTGAAAATACATACAAAAATGTATGCTGTATTTAAATACTTTACCAGAAATAGCATATATATAAAGTAGATAGAATTAGGGGATGAAAATGTAAGAAAAAATGATAGTTGGAGATAGCCCTACATTCCAGTATAGTAAAGTGGCCGACCGTATCAGTACCGAAAATAGTTTAGAGGACAGGTGAGTGAGCAACCTACCCCATCGGCATTATATACAGAAACTTACAGTGGAATGATTAAAGCGAAGAAATAGAGGAAAAAACTTAGAAATGCATATCAAACACATGACAGGTTATCAAAACACATTAAAAGCAGTGAAAAAGATAAAACACACATCAAACATTTCAGTATCGACTGTACACGTAATAATAGCAATATCCCAAGTGCAATCCAGCCTGGAAAGAATTCAGACTTCAGAAATTCATTTGGAAGTCTCTTGAATGCCATAAAAAAGATGCGTTGCTTATTGCCTACTGAATTAACTATAAACTGAACAAGAAAGCCCACTTGGACTGAAGTCACAATTAAATACTTTCCATGTTCAGTACCCACGAATGAAGTCCCTTAGACATATAGGTATTTTGATAAAAATATACTAGGTCTCTTAGAACTTGGTATTTGTGTACAATTTTGGTGTTGAAATACTTTAGATATAAAAATCTCACATTTTTTGTATCAATTTTTTATATTGTGTATGGATGTTTTGGTGCAGAGTGCTGTGGGTAAAAACCTGTGTTGACCTCTATCTCTGACCCGGAAGTTTATATTTGACGTTGGTGACACATGCAGAAAAATATCTCAAGAAAAAGGCCAACATCCTATGTTGAAATATTCATATTTTACTCCCAAGATGTTGCTCTTGACCAGATTAGATGGAAAGTTGGCTATCAAATATTGTTTTTTTAATGAAATTAAATGTTACAATGAAACATATAGTAAAATTAATTGTGGTCTTTGTCCTATATACTTACATTGGACACATGATCTCGAACTTGGCCAAAAGCTGTATCCAGCGGCGCACCAACAAGCTCCTTTGAGACACTCCGATTCTGTGACGTAACAATCCGAGGACGTAGTACAGACATCGCCTATATAACGTTCACCTTGAACAAAAAAAAAAAAATGACGTTTAAATGACAAATGGCTTGATTAAAACAACAATTGACAGAGCATTTCATTTATAGTTGAGGTTGTTCAAAACATCAAAACTATTCAAATCCAATTAGCATATACATTGTATTCCATGGAAGACGATTTAAGGTATGCTGATCAACTTTTTAAAAGTCATCTTGACTTTCTACAATACTCTACTTTACTTAAATAAATTTAAATCAGTCTGCACGATTGAAAATCATATATAAACTTCATATATTTTATTTTGTACAACAATTATAAAACAAGTTATTTTAACTTATATCAATCGCTCTTGTTGGTCCCGATGTTAGCGCTCAGTTGGTCTTAATGTGGGAGGAAACCGAAGTACCCGGAGAAAACCAACGTTGTCGGGCATGTAACCCCATACCTGTTCACGTCAGATCGGGGAATTGATCCCCGGCAGCCTTGGTGAAAGGCCAGGATGTACTACAGCATCAACACACACAATAACTAAATAGGAACTCAAACGCAAAAGACAGCAGGTACCGAGGAGGGACATTTTGAATTCTCATACAAAAATCTCACAGTGTGGTTTATGTTTGTATTAACGTTTTGAGTCAGGATTTTGTTCCTGTGTATTTATGATTTGCTACATTTACATCCATTTTACTAGTCAAGGGTATATAATTCAATGTGTTGATACTTTTAGTTTACACCCAGATCAAAGTCGTGATCCCGTTAATCTTAATGTAACACATTACTAGGGGAGGCGAGTCCGGCAATAATTCATACAATGTTAGATCCCGAGCTCATATATTTCCCCGCTTAGCTCTACCATCTAATAAACACCCAGTTATTGTTTACACATAATTGTTTTTATATTCGTATATTCGTCTTTTTTAAATAGTATATACATATCCCAAGTTCAAAGTATTAAGAGCAATGTTATGAATAATTGAAATTAGTCGATACGGGATAGCTATGGGATTTGAAAAATCTTTTAAAATTTCAACACCTCAGCTGCAACTAATTCTGGTATGGTCTACATGGAGGAAAATTATTACTATTGTAGTCAAAAGTTGAGTTTTAACGTCATATATGATTTTTAAGCATCTTTTTTCCTTGTATTTCTCCATATGTTTGAAATTCTTTCAACTTTTAGTACCCCTGATGAATTCCAAATGAACTAAAAGTATTTTTTAACTTCCTGTATCGACTTACATTTTTAAATATGCGCTTTCGTATCTAGTATCTATGGTTTAAATTTCTTTATTAGGTGAGGCAAGTTTTATTTTCAAAATGAACCTGGCAGATACTGATGTTAATGTTCATTACATCAACAAGAGGCCCATGGGCCTTTACGGTCATCTAGATTGGTAAACAATTTGTATTCGTTGTTGTGTTCAGTCATTAAATTGAAGGACAAGTGTCATTGTGGTTTCAAACCAACATGGCTTAAAGTGAACTTACAATGAATAATATATTTGGAGAGGTTTTTGGAGAGTCCTCCTAAATGAAATCAATCAATTGAATAAGCTGCTAGAGTTTAATATTGAATTTAAAGCTGATCAATTTGATTGCTTTTTTAGTTTACATCATTAATTATATAGCAATTGTGCAAAATGTAATACACCAAGAACACAACTATAAAGAGAATGAACAAGAGAAATATATATTTTGTATGGGTGTTATTTTCATTTGATGCATCATATTACACTTTCCAATGGTTGACAGGAAAAATCATTAGAGGTGGTACACTCAGTGTTCTGGAACACATGTGTTTTGTTTGAATTAATAATGCCTTATCTTATTCCTTTATTTGAAATCCTGATATCATATTGTATCGACGTGGTTTTTTTTTTGTTCTAACAATTTAAGGTCTGATCATGCGTTTGAGTGTTTGGGTTGCAGTTTATTTTGACCGACTTGTGTATGGCGATACGGTATTTGTATCGATTTTCCGTTCAGATATCGTTCTTTGGTGTGGACGAGATTGCATCTATTGATATCGACATCATGTATTTATGATTTGCTACATCTTTTTATCAACTTTGACCCAATACCTAGGTTTGGTTTGGTTTGCTTTAGTATTGTTTAACGTCCTATCAACAGCTATGGTCATTTAAGGGCGGCCTCCCCTGTGAGTAAGATGCATGCGTGTAGTGTATGAGTGTGTGTTTTGGGAGGCTGCGATATGTTCGTGTTTGACTCCTTAAGATAGCGCGGAACTGATGCCGACTTTATAGTGCTACCTCACTGAAAGATACTGCCGAAGACGCCCAGCAGGATACCCCACCCGGTCACATTATACTGACAACCTAAATTAGGTAAAGACGATAGTTTAAATATTATATATTAATCATCTGAGAATCTGATCTACCCTTTACCTCAATGTTTTTTGTGAAAACAAATTTTTTGCAGTTATCTTATAAAATACTCTGTTTTTCTTTGCATCCGGCAGAACGATTGAATTTTAGGTTGTAGCCTTTAAAACAAAAGTCAAGCAAAAGTTTCCAGAGCCGAAACACCAACTCCTCAGAGCACTTTTGACTCTTTTGCTTTTGGACTATCATCATCGACCCGAACACAACGATACGTTAAATTTGCATCTTGTTTTTGTGTACTGACAGAGTGAACTTTCTTGTACCGACTTTGAGTTCAGATCGTTTCCTAATTTATTTATGATGTGGTGCCTTTTGCGTTTACAATAACTTTTGATCATATCTTCATGCATTTTATCTTGTTTTATATTTAACTATATAGCAAAACTATCTGAAAACTGTCTATTTCTGAACTATCGCCATGTTTCCCGATTAATCATCTCCAGAAATAACAGTAATCAAATGATTGACATTGTGACGATTCAAAAGTTTGGTTTCTAACGTTTCTAACGCTTTCTCGTAGCTAGACTTTATCACCTAGAAAATGTTTAGCTGTGAGTCACTACAACATCTACTGGACAGGTAATGTAATTATTAAGAAGAGGTATTACCCACCGTCTATTTTATATTATTGTCTACAATAACCACAAGAAATACAAAGGAAGAATAACTTAGTAACTCATTCACCCCTGAAATTTCATAATGAACTATTCCAACCTTTGCATTGGAAGAGTTCAAATGTGTCTTCATGGGTGAATGTGTTAAAACATGCACTAAGTCGCCCTTGAAAGCCAAACAAAGTAAGCACTTTATTTTACTGCACCATGTTTATATTTCGTCCTTCTAGGACTCATCAATGGTACTTTAGGTGAAAAGAATGGACGTCAATATCTATGATGTTCCGAAACATATGTAGATAAACAGCGAATAGGGAAACGTACTTTTAAATCCCTTCATAACGTCGTAATTCACAAGTTTGGATACAACAAGTAATTATGCTTCAACTAATATCACTTTTAATAAATTTCGTGGTCAAAAATCAAATGAATTGGGCAGCAGGCAAAGCCTATTTAAGCCCCATTCCATACATAGTAACAAACAGTGGTAAAAGAATAGACATACACATATAAACAAATTGATATTATCAAATCAATAATCAAAGCTGGGGAAACTGTTTTTGATTATAATTGAATCTAATGGTTTAAATTCTAACCTTTTATTTCGATACCGAAAAGATCTATAAAATATATACATGTTATCAAGAGAAAAGAAAAAGAATTTGTTTATGGAGCTGCATGCATAAACATTTGATGGGATTTAATTATCACATGCCAAAAAGGCTAATATTTCATTGACTGTGTCAGAAATATTTCAGCTAGAAGGTAGCGGCCAACTTTGTCAAATGAAAGCCCACCAGCAGAGTCAACGACTTTGTGATGCAATACAAGAAGGAAACGTATATTCAAATCATAAGTAATGTCGATCTAGCGAGCCAACCAAAGTAAGAGTTTTCTCTGCACATTTGGCAATTTTTGTAAATTTAGATCTGATTAGATTAGAGGTGAAAGTTTTATGAGGATTAAGAGTTACCTACCGACTTCACCCACATAATATTTATTGCCGACGGCAGGCATGGATCCATTTGTAATTCCCAATGTTATGGAATGTCCAACACATGATAGAGAATCCTGATTGTAGAAGAAACTCACACAGGCGTCGTCATTTTTACACTGTTCCGCGCATCGGAATGGCGTCCTGACATTTGCTTCTGTCCACAATTCACGAGTAGGAATTGTCATGTTCTGTAGATTATTCCTGAGGGAAGATTTGAACATTGAACATTCTCCTACTGCAGTTACTGAATTCCACAAACCTATAAACATCAGTGTTACACTTCCAAAGTTTACCAGAAAACAGGTTTTGTTGACTTGTAAGAAATCTTTGATGGTTTTCATGGCAACTGTTATTCCAGAAGCTCTACAATATAATGGGGCTGGAATACACTGTTTGGTTCCAGGGGATATGAAACAATGCTCAGTTCCAAGGACTGTTGAATACTATCAAGTTTCAATGACATATGGCATTATCCTGCTTCAAGAATTAAGTTATATTATGTAGTTTCATAAGAATAGGAATTCTGTCTAGTTTCAGAGATGATGACACTTTGTCCGGTTAAGATGCTCCACGACACTGTCCGGTTTAGGATGCTAAAAGAAATTGTCCATGCGGTTTATCCAAAGCGCGATGTCGCACTGTGCGTTTCCAGAGACTCGAGGCGTCTATAAGTGATCATATACCCTTAACAATCTGAAATGTGTGAGTAGCGCTAAGCCAATCATGATATACCCAGCAAACACTGATGTTACCGGGATCAATAAAGGCCTAATCGCTGCTAGCTACATTCAGGTCCTTTCATCTTCTGAACCTCGTTTTTAACTACGTTTTATTTAACAAAAACATATTTTATGTCTTTAGTCATAAAAATTTACTCTATTGTTATATAAGGTTATTATTACATAAAGCTTGAACGGTATTCTGTTTTTAGTTTCATGCTGGTATGAATGCAATTCGGTTACATACATATTTACCACGAGGCACTGGCGGTCTTCGTCGAATATTTATTTAACCGATTTGCATTCATACCGACTTGAAAATTGAAAAATGTCGTTTAATCCTAATATTTGCATTCCAAATTTTCAGTTCGTTTGACCTTAAAATAGATATTCTCTTCCACTTTCGATATTGAAGAGTCTGTGTCGTCAGTGCTAACGAGATTACTAGAAACAGCCTAACGTCACCAAACTGTTTGCTCCTATCGGTTGTCTCATATTACTCGAGGTGGGATAACGCACCTTCTTCTGGTAATGCTTACAGAGCAACTTGCAGTGAACATATACATATATGATTATAAAAAACCCATATTTAACAATTAATATTCTTTTATAGGTAGCAAATTTATATATTACATATTTTGATTATAAATATCTGCGTCTCTTGCGAAACGTTGACTTAATTTACTATATAGATTAAATGTAGACTTCAACAATCTTTAAAACAAGACCATAGCTTACGCTAACATTTATACACTTATTTGAGGTGTTCGGTTGATATGGTTTAACAGCTAAGGTCGTTTAAGGACGTGTGTGTTGTGTATGCGTGCATGTGTGTTTGTGTGCCGGAGACAGGGTATGTTGTTGTATTTGCCTCCTTGTGATAGCGTGGATGTGATGCCGTCTTTATTTTATAGTGCTATCTCACTGAAATATCATGCTGAAGGGACCCAGCACTGTATTCCGCCCGGTCACATTATACTGACAACGGGCATACAAGTTGTTGCCATTACCCTAAATGCTGAACATTAAGTGAGGAAAAATACCACCATTCTCAAGGACTTTGGTATGCCCCGGCCTGGTGACAAAACTCATTGCCTTCCTAACGAGGGCGAACGCTCGACACTAAAGCAACTAGTGAGGTACTGCCAAGCAAGGTGCAAAGAATGAAAGATAGTTAAAAGTAGAGAGAAATAACAATATCCCAACTATTGCATTGTGTGCAGCATATTTATTTTGGTCGCTTTTGTATCCCCATGTAGAGGGCACAAAAGCAAATGCCTAATTATGCAGGGAGGTTCCCACGTCAGTCGCCTCTAACGATACATGTAGTGGGTAACAGAAGGTGTATCCTTTTCGCGATCCCTGACCTGCAGAGGTGTATTTGAGGTAAGGAATTACTGACTTTCAATAAGGACAGAATGGCAGGTAAAGGTTCAATTATAATAATTGTCTGCCTTCATTTACAAGATATTTTTTATTTGAATTTACTATAACATATAAGTACGTGTTTAGCCTCATGTTTCTTGTTTGCTCGGAAAAAACCCATTTTATTCACTTTTCTAAACCAGCATTAATATATAATATATGACATGAGCATTGCAGTAGCATTAATGACACGAATATGTCAAAACCAAGAAGCGTGCGAAATGGTCAAATCTTGAGACAATTTCCATTTTGATGGTATGAGAAAAACAACTATTCTTTTACTGTGGAGTTATATCGAAAAATATTTTTAGGTCCTTTTTTATGTCGATAAAAGTCTTCTTTCACATGTTTGTGCCGTGTTTACACACGGCATTTCATCATGCCAGTTATTGATCGTTTAATGGTACCCAAAGGAATGTAAATATTTACACCGTGTAGCATTGATAAATTCTGTGATAGGAAAATAGTACACTTACATTTTAATATTCGGTATGGAGTCGGTTACGTTTATGTACAAAATTAAGAGCGGGGATAGATTGTTGTTGGCAGGGAGTAGCCTAATTACACAGTCTACCTAGCAGTTTTTGAATGTGTAATATAACTATACAAATGTACATGCTACAATCGCAAATCCGTTGACACCAAAAATATGTTAAACAAATAAAACATATACATAGTTGTCAGGGGGTTAATGCAAAACATACACGTATTTGAACTGCAAACCTGTAGACACACAACAAAATGAGTGAATGAAAGGATGGATTAGAGGATATGAGAAACAAGAGGCCCAGAGGGCCTGTATCGCTCACCTGGATATCTAAGCAATAATGGCAAAATATTCTCCAAATGAGATCCGAGGGAATATGCCAGACCCCAAGGCCAACCCTTGTAGCATATCTGTATTAGATTTTGTCATGCCCAGCAATTCAATGTATGGTTATGGGGTGGGGATCTTAACTGTTTCCAAGCTGTGACTCAGAAACTAGGTCTCTAGGGTTTTGACCAGACCCCGGGATCAATTTTAATATCATGACTGCATTTTTCACTTTTTGCCCAGCATTTCTTATTTATCGTTTTGGGATGGGGATCTCAACCGTTTCAACATTATGACCCAAGGGTTACGTCTGCAAGGGTGGGGCAGACCCTGGGGTCAATTATAATAACATGACTGCATTCGTCTCTTTATGCCTAACAATTGTATATATAGTTTTGGGGTGGGGATCATATCGAAGTTATGACCCAGGGATTAAGTCTCCAATGGTGGGGCAGACCCCAAGGCCATCCTGGAAGCATATGTGCATTCATCTCTTTATACTCAGTAATTGTATATATGGTTAAAGGGTGGGAATCTCAACTGTTTTCAAACTGTGACTAAGAAACTATGTCCCTAGGGGTTCGGTCAAACCCAAGGGTCTATTCTTATATCATGACTACACTCGTCTCTTTATGCTCGCATTTGTATATATAGTTTTGGGGTGGGGATCTCGACCGTTTCAAAGTTATGACTCAGGGACTATGTCTCCAAGGTAGGGGCCATCCTAGAAGCAATTGTGCATTCTTCTCTTTATACTCAGCAATTGTATATATAGTTATACGGTGAGGATGAAATAAACTTTTTTTTGCCCCACCCCCTAGCCCGGGGGTTCAAAGTTTGTACAATTTTGAATCCCTGCCTCCCATGAATGCTTCCGACCAAATATGATCGATATCCATGAAATAGTTCTTTAGAAGAAGTCTTTTATAGCAATTTAGCCAAATAGCCCACTATTGGGCCCACCCCTCAGCCCAACCATTAGTACAATTTTGAATCTCCACTACCTAGGAATGCTTCCAGTCAAATTTGGATGATATCAATATTTTAGTTCCAGAGAAGAAATCGCTTAAATAATATAGTCAAATTGCCCCCTTTTGGCCCAACCCCTTAGGGATGCTTCCAGTGAAATTTAGTTGAATTCCAATCAGTGGTTAAGAAGAAGAAGTCGTTAAAAGAAATTGACGACGGACGGACGACGGACGCCACGGTATGGCATTAGCTCACCTTGGTCCTTCGGAGCTGGTGAGCTAAAAATCCATTTTTACAGTAAGCAGGTTTACATTGTTAGCATTCTGTTAACATCAAATGAACAATACAGTGACAGACGAACATCAGTTTTGTTAATTTTAGCCTGATTTGGGTGTTGGTTTAATTTCCACAATAAAAGCAAATGGATTATACTGAAAATGAACCGACCATTTACCAGCTATTGGTACGAGTTATAATTTCTCTTTGATGGAAACCCTTTTATAATTTCATCTAGCTGTTAGAATGTTCGTTGCTTGTACAAGGTAAATGAAATCAAGGTTGCATTAGAGGCGCTCAGGGTACTAACATAACCATGATGTATTAAATCGACAGCATATATCATTTAGTCTTGTTAATGGGTTTTTAATTAAAAACGAATTTAAAGCATTTTGTTAGATAATATAATTGTTTGCATAGCGATTCCCTGATAGAATCGTTGAGTGTGTATGTACTTGCTACTAAGATAATCAATCTGAGCTTGATTTAGCTTGTTTACCTTTTGATAAAATGAAGAATACCATTTTGCATGATATAATGACATATATACATGAAATGTATAATGAATGGATTTATTTTTGTATGTTTCCTTTATGGATACTCTAAAATATCACATGGCAAACATATTGGTCTTTAATTATTTGGTTTGTTTGCGGTTAACGTCCTGTTAACAGCTATGGTCATTTAAGGACATGTCAGGGTTTTTTGGTGAAAGAAATCCGGAGTACCTGGTGAAAAAACACCGACCTGTGGTCAGTACCTGGCGACTGCCTACGAATGTCTCGAATTTGTGACCAAGTGTTGGAAGGCTAGTGATCGCTGACGGTCAGACGCCTTAGCATGTAGGCCGCCGCGGCCCCGGTCTTCAATTGAGAAGGTATCTTATATAAAGTATTTGCGACTGTGAGAAACTTTTACACTGAATTTGATTAATTTGATATTTTCTGTTCACTGTGATGGGTTTTTTCTCCTTAAATAGAATGTGGTGTATTCAATTGTGGAAACCTAGTGAAGACTTCTTTTGTATTGTTTTGTTTTTATCTTTACGTGTCCCTTTTTTCTTCCGGTTTAGGACGATAAAAGCTTGCTCTAAATATAAAGGGAACCAAGCAAAATAAAAGAGAGCACGTCCAGTGTCGCAAACCGTAAAGGAATCAATACACACGAAACGAGTGCAAAGGACACCTCACGAACCGTACGGTATACATCACACACCAAACGTGGTCAAAAGACACCTCGCTAACCGTTAAAGGATACATCACACACCAAACGAGTGCAAATGACACCTCACGAACCGTGCGGTATACATCACACACCAAACGTGGTCAAAAGACACCTCGCTAACCGTTAAAGGATACAACACAAACCGAACCTGTACAAAAGACACCTCTAGAACCGTTAAGGATACAACACACACCAAACGTGGGCAAATGACACCCCACGAACCGTA